GAGTAATTGATGCTTAGAAAATACTATTGATGTCTTATTTTTAAAGGTCGACTCAATCCATATGATTGCTCCTTTCATTAAATGGCACGTAATTCTCCGTCAACATTGTGTTTATAGAGAAAATTGTTCTCTGAATGACACATGCTTGATGTATGATATTGTCAAAGTGAACTTTACATCTGATATGAATGTGACTTTCGAACAACTGAAGCAGTTGTTGCACGAGTCTGACTATACATGGATCGGTGTTCACATTCGTCGCGGTGATTTTTTAACATTTTTCAAAATTGAGTCATCTGTCAAGTATCTTACATCGGCAATGGAATACTATCGACTAAAATATCCGAGAAGTGTTTTCATCATGGTAAGTGACGATAAGGACTGGTGTATGCGTCAGTTTGGTCATAGAACAGACGTTATTATCACGCCTAGAACTTACTTTTATGGGCATGATATAGCCGTATTGGCAATGTGTGAACATTCGATCGTCACGGCGGGCACTTACAGCTGGTGGGCTGGATTTATGGCGGGAGGAGATGTGATTCATGATACAACATATCCGGTAAGTTGGCAGCAGGCCTGCACTAGACAAAATTATTTTCCACCATGGTTTCTCTTCATATCGAACATGACAGAATTACAAAATTATACCATAACAACAACCTCAAGAACCTCAATGACTAAACAGCTATTATGAACTATTTCCTGAAGAAGAAGATTATCCGTTTTTGTGAACATAGAAGGCGAGGACAAGTTCTTGCTGCTAGTAAAGGGACAAAGGAAGAATCAATATCATCAAAAAAAGTATGGAAAACGTTCGATTGAAGCAGAAATAAACTAGGGTGCAAAACGTATTGATAGACGACTGTAAACGTAAAATGTAACTGACGTTTTATGCTCGGCGTCCAACGACTTCAGAAGAATACAAGATAATGAAAACTATAATTCATTCGAAACATATGATATACAACTGATGCTTCTAATACATAAGTTATAACTTCTTGTATAAAATTTACGCCGGTAGATTAGAACAAAAATCTAGTGAATTTTGAGAAAAACGATGGTTTTGCTGGTGCTATAGAAAACCAACGTTAATCTTTTGAAACCTCAGAAATTGTTAGTCTCTGATCCAGAGCATGTTCAGAGATTAAAATTGCATAGGCAGATGCCAAAATAAATTTGACAGAAAAAGGGCGTAACGTGGAGAGAGGAATCATGGTTAGCGTATTCCTTGCGTAGACGCTGCTTTAGTCTGTTTGTCACTAATCTACGAAGTTTACATAACTGACACGGGAATCATGGTTGCTCGCTCTCTGCATATTCAAATTCTAACGACGTTTTTCTGTCAAATTTATTTTGGCATCACTATATGCGATTTTAATCTATGAACATGCTCTGGCTCAGAGTCTAACAATTTCTGAAGTTTCAGCAAACCACCCTTGGTGTTCGTTGCTAAGAAAAGCAATTTATACAGATTTTACAAAATTTTGATCGTCAAACTAAAAAATTTATAAAATACTCAAAATGAAAGCTGGAACTTCGATTCTTACATAGTTCAATAATTAAGTTGCATATATATATGTAACTTGTGAGTAGAATTGAACTAGCTGCATCCGAGAAAATAAACATTAAGGTATATGATTTTGGTTATGTAGTAAGGTTGCCGTTAAACAGTTAGCTTTAGACTTAACATACTTCTGAGATCTTCACAGATTTTGTAGGAGGTCTCTATAGAAAAGTTTCTCGTAGAAAATCAAGGTTTTGAAGTTCTCTTAGTGTAGTTTCGATGTCGTTTTTATCTTTTTTTTAGATTATCACTTTTTGATCGATCCTATTAGTTGATCTTGTATTATTGATATGTCGAAAATTTAAGAGCAGAAGCTCTCAATTACGCAGTGCATATTACGCATTATATTAGTAACAAGGTGATCGAATAAAAATATATCTGAGCCAAGTGAGGAATCAAACGATCATGATTTTATAAACACAGCTGGCATAGATTTTAGTGATGAGCTAATTCTAAATATAAGTGATTTAATTAAAATGATTAAGCGAACTTCTGGTTCGAAAAATTTAAGTGGAATGTTGTATATAACACTGAGATATTTCAAGATTAAATTGGGAGATATTGATACATTTCTAAAATATATTGAGTTATAATGACATGTAAAATGTCTCATAAATGGATTGAAATATTCGTACACGGTGATTATGAGTAGTTTATAACAGAGAATCATGGTGGTAAAAGGACAGACTCGTTTTGTGATTCATTCCCAGGACTGAAGTTGAAGCAAAAATGTTTGTACTTGAACAGGGTTCAAAGAAATCAGCTGATTTCAAAACTTCTCATTTGATCAAATTCATTGATGAATATAAATACTACGAAATTATTGGGAGTATTAAACAAGATGTTGAACCAATTCGATCAGAGAGTAGCTGCAGATTAGATCTTAGAAGATGGCGAGCAAACTAATTGATATAACATCTCTATAGTCGGTAAAATTCAATTTAAAGATGCGAATGGTGCAAAAAAAAAATCATCGATTGTTATTTAAAACGTGATTAAATAAAAATAAAAGTAAAGGAATAATTGAAATATGTAAAGAATTAGATATTAAATTATTCGATAAATGTGAACTGGATAAAATATGAGAAATACTTTGAAAGCATCGTGCATTTCAAGGGTCAATATAGATCCATCTTTCTCGCCAGCCTGTTGAACCATTTCTGGTGTCTTATACGTATCTAAACCGGAACGATTTGCCAACAAATATAACATTGAAATAATTTTTTCAACTAAATATCATTGTGAATGTCATCCGATTGAGGGTTTGTGGTGGCAACATGAAATCATTTGTTAGACAATGTGGTGATCAAACATTTGATAAATGATTGGATGAATATCTAATGCACGAGCACATTTCATTTGCAAAAAGAGGTCATTAAAATTATTTAGACGATTTTGGCGTACACTTGAAGCTTATGCACTAGAGATGTACAATTCTACCCGACCCGAAGGTTGGGTACGGGTACGGATAGAGCAGTTACGGGTACGGGTTCTATTTCTTTTTAATTTACCTGAAAACCGGAAGGTTTTAGTGGAAAGCCCACAACATTTTTGTGAAAAAATACAGGAAGTTAGCTAAAATATATGAAGGCTTAAAAAAGAATTACTTGAGAACATAATGATAATTTGACATCTTCAGTAGGAAAACAAAAGTTTTTAGCTGGAAGAAAAAAAGGAGAAAATTTTTAGGCATAAGTCGGATACGGGTACAAAAACGGTGCTCATGCACAGCTCTATTATGCACAAACACATACTGAGGTGTTTAAACTATATTTTAGTCAGTTATGTTAAGGCACAGTAAAGTCTCATCAAAAAAATCATCTTCTAAGTCTCACAGACTCAAAGATCATTAAGAGAACTTCGAAACCTTTATTTTCCATGAGAAAGTTATATATATATCTCGTTTTGAATCAAAATATATCCTAATCAGGCTATAGCCAAAAAACATATATCCCGATTTGGATATAAATTCGATTTTGAAGTAAAATTCATTAGCGAACAAATGATGATGTTCGCGGAAAGTTTTGACTATACCGCACCATACCAGAGAAAATGTTTCGAAAGTAAAACAAGTTGACAAAAAGAATCCTTTTAATTTAGCTTTTGTCCATTTCTGGATTTCGCCTAACAATGTGATATTCCCACTCATATTGTGACTGTCAAAATAATATACGCTGTTCTCTTATCATCTTTTGTTGTCTTAAAGTTCTCAACAACATCTACTGATGCTTAAACGCTTAAATAAAAACATTTTATCAGTTTTCGTTTTCTTTTCTTTCCCAAAAGAACCAACATCTCTTTTCTTCTTTTTAGGAAAGAAAAGAAATCACTTTACTTTTTTTCAAAAAAGAAAATATATGCATCATATCTTTACACTTTTTTGTTGCAAAGAAAGAGAAAAACTTTTCTTTTGTTGATAAAAAACAGAGGTAGTAAAGAGAAAGCGTCACCCCTAGTTTGCATGTACTCCCTTTTTTAATATATGCGAAGACGTTCACAGTTACACCACGCCTTAACGCGCATTCAGATGTAGAACGCATGCTAAGGCATGACAAATATTCACTGTTTGTGTGCGTTCGAACACATTTTTAATGTATGCAAAACTGTTCGTAATTACATTGCACTCCTTCAAACGCATTAAAAACCTTCATTTTAACGCCTTCAGGTTTTGTAATATCCGCAGGGTACGAAAACCCTCTTTTGACACCTTCTAAGCCTTTATGATAAGTGCTATTTTCGACCTTGAATTTTTTAGAATATTTTTGTTCTTCTAATGCGTGTACATGTATTAGCAGCGCGAAGTTTTCTCTTTTACGCGTTCGAATGCATTATTTCGTCGCAGGAAACTAATTTATGAGAACTTTTTTATAGAGTAAAAGGACCTGCGGAGGTCCAAAATTTCTTTCTGGACAGCCTTTGGTTATTAAGAAAAATGTAGGCACAAGTTGAAAGGCAAAACTTTACCTTCTATCAAGAGGACGCTAGGATTTTCGTTTGTTAAGAGAGGGATCGACGGTAAGCTGCTTAGGAACAAGTCTGTTGGCAGGTTCTTAGCCGAAAGACACCGAAGATATGGATGTCCCAGAATTCTCACATCATATTCAGAAGGAGCGTGAAAAACTGCCTCGACTCAAGCATAATTGATCTAGGAAACTGATCGAATGGTGATAAAATATTCAAGTAGGTCCTATTCTAGTTCTCTCGAGTCATTCTCGCACCACAGAGTTCAATAGTTGTAGAGTGCGCTGTTTATTCGTTTGCATCATTCACGAGTATGTAATAGCAACAAACTGCAACCTCTTTATGTTGCTATATACCGTTGATAAAAACAGTTCTTATCAGTACCACTTCTACGTTTACTGCCTCAACAGATAGATTGTGACGACAATAAAAAAGCACAGTTGTTTCATACATCGCGCATGCACTCGATCGAATGAATACACAGATAGATTTTAACAAGTTTGAACTGCAGAATGTTGAAAATGGAAACGAAATAACAAGAACACACCTCAACGCTAACGAATGCGTTATTGTATGGTTGGAAGTGCCAGTGAAGAGCAATGATATTGATATCTTTTCTGAATTGAAAATATTTTATGATCGAGATGAATGCATTGATTATATAACAACAGACAGTAATGATCACTATGACCGCATTACAAAACGGGTGTTACTGGTCACTTCCAAAGAAGCTGCTGGTACACTTGTTCCACTCATTTATCAGTTAAAGCAAATTACATCGATTTATATTTTTGACGATACAGCAGAAGACAAGAGTAATACCATAGAAAAGAAGTAAGTTGATTTTAGATGCACTGAAGATTGGACATCATCTGATTCTAAAGATGATGAATAAATGTCTCATTCTTGTGAAGTCTGTTGCAAGTACTAACAAAGATCGACATATGCGTTTATCTTACTCTATAGCAAACCTATTCAACCAAGGATTCTAACGACCTGCCAAAAAATACGTGGCGAATATTGTGACAAAAACTTGTTGTGTAAACAGATATCCGACGATTTTACTCAATTTGAACAATATCATTTACCGTTCGCTGTTTGTTCACCATCGATCTACAAAGAAACATCAACACAAAGTCTAAAACAAGAATCAGCTACATTCATGTGGTCGTATCTTCTAATTCATGCACTGACAAAAATGCATTCTGTAAGAGCCAAAGTAGATATGTTAGAAGAATGTCGTCAATGCTACGCCGATAATCCTGCCGGACTTCAAAAAATTGATGAATTTGAAAAAGATTATGATCGGTCCGCTGCTCTCTGGTGGTATACTCGTGACAGTTTTGTGTATCGTTTACTGAACAAGGCATTCCGACTGAAAAATATTGATATAATTTTCAAGTTTCGATTTATTATTACTGATCTTATCGAGCAATTACGAACGCTTCAAACAGAGTAAGTCTTTGAAAAATGTGGATTTCGACAATTTTATATTTCTCTTTCAAGGACCCATCCGATATCGAGTTCATCTTCTATTCTTTCTGTCTATCGTGGTCAGTACATGGCAATAGAAGAAATCGACTGTTTAAAAGAAAATATTGGCGGACGCATAACCCTCAACACATTTTCATCGACCAGTATCGATGCTCAGACTGCTCGAAGTTTTATTTTTGATTCAATTAATTCTGAAGGAGATCATGCTGTATTATTTGAAATTACGATTGATACAAAACTGTCTATAACAAGTCCGTATGCTAAAATTTCAAGTGTTAGTGCGATGCCTGATGAATGTGAAGTATTGTTATCCGTTGGAATGATATTATGCATTAATTCAGTTGAAAAGCAACAGTTGGGTGAAAGTGACTATTGGTTGATCAAATTACAACTTCAAAATGATGAAGTATTATCAATCAAACAGTTATTGGATTCATTCAAAAGTGATATTGATAAACAAGAATCAGATTTAATCATATTCAGTAACGTTCTATGGCACATGGGTGATTATGATCGAGCGGAAAAATATTCAAAAAGTTTGTTAAACGAATTAGAAACAAACGATTCATACAGAGCAAATGTGTATAATATGTTGGGTTTAATTTATGCAGAAAAATCATTGTATGACGAAGCTGTTGAGGCTTACAACACATCAATTGACATTCGTCGTCAAACACAGAGTGAGGATGATCACATTGATTTTGCACCCGTGTATAGTAATTTAGGATGTGTGTGTACTTTGAAACAAAACTATATAGAAGCTTTAAACTTTTATCAAAAAGCCTTCGATTTAGGACAAAGAAATTTGCCAGAAAACGACTTACAATTGTCGACATATATTATGAATATAGCACTGGCTTACGATAATCTTAATGATTATGAAAAGTCATTGAAATTTTATAAGAAAGCTCTAGAAATCTTACTTACACATATTCAATTTGATCATCCATCAATCGCTGCAATTTACAATAATATCGCTTCGATTTACCGAAAACTTTGTGATTATGAGCGATCAATGGAATATCAACAAATAGCTCATATGATATGGACAAAAACATTGCCACCATTTCATTCGAGTGTAGTACAATCTCACGATAATTTAGGAACAGTTTATGCTTCACTTTTAAAGTATGATGAAGCATTAAAACATTTTCATTTAGCATTGAAAATACTTGAGAATCATCATAGCCATGTTAATGAGAATGCTTTAGTTGCATCCTGCATTAATAATATTGCCACCATTTATTTAACTGAAGAAAAATTTGAACAAGCGTTGACGTATTTTGAAAAAGCTTTAGAAATCTATAAGCGGTATAAACAAAATGCGTCTATAGCTACAATTTACGATAATATCGGTACTCTATATTCAAATATTAGTGACTTTTCAAAAGCAATTGAAAATTATTCAAAATCAATAGAATTTCACATGTTGCAACTTCCCGATATCGATAAATGTTCATTAGCACAAACCTTTGATCATGTTGGATTAATTCAATTTCACTTAGGGATGTACGGCGAAGCTTTACAGAGTTTTCAATCAGCATCAGACTTGGTTGATTGTGTATTACCATCAGATCATCCATCGGTTGTGGAGTATAGAAATCATATTGAAATGACAAATGATCAGGTACTGTTATAAACTCTGTCGATATGCCAAGTGTTTCTAATTTGAATTTAGAGAATTATAGTTTGTTTAAGTTGCCGATTATAACTACTTTTTTTCCTTTTGGAGCTATTTTTCATATGTAAAACTATCTTAGAGATCATAAATATAGTGATGGGTGGTGGAAACGTATTTTATTGTAGAACAGTATGTAGGATAATAACAAAAAATATGAAAGATCTCTAGCAGCAAACAGAAGACGAAGAAAGAAAAAAATGCATTATGAAGATAATTATTGTAAACTGTATAGAGATATGGTCAGATTTCTTGCGGCGTGATGAAAGATAAGGCAGGTGTGCGACAGAATTTGCTGTCGATCGAGGGCGAGTTATCAGGTATATCTTGAATATTTGTGGATCCGTCCTTCATACAAAAGTACAAGCCTCGATACGCTCTTGAATCATTATGAGAGGGAGACGGCGCTTGTGTGTCACTCATTTTGTTTCCTATACTGATACTGGTGCATAACTACGCTATAGCTCTTCTCGTCTCTCCAAGTGTGATCGATTTGGATGAGCTAGAAACTAATAAAACTATCACTAAAATTGGTTTGACATTGAATGATTCCGGTCTCATTCGATTACTTTATATCCGGTTAAACTTATCTAATTCTCATCCCTAGTTGAGATTTAACGTTCAACAACTCTTCGATCATTGTTGCAGTTCATAGATCAGTTGTGCCTCGAACTAAGCGTGGCATAGTGATCATCGTACATGAGTGCTGAGCTCATTATATTTATCATCAGACTGCTTACAACGATTAGTATGCTGTTTAGACCGAGTACACAAGTCGCATTACACTGGTTACATATAAATTTCGTTACACAACATGGTAATGATATGACGTGTGAGCTCTCGCCACACGGCTTGTTTTTGTAAGTTGATTGCTTTGATCCAGTTTCTCGTGTTAATATTAAGTTCGGTTGTTTCCCCACTCCTCCTACTGTTCATTGAATCACTGCGCTGTTGCATAGTTGAGACTTGCAGTTATCGCCTCCTGACTCACTATCTTCCTTTACCTCTTTATTTGCTTTCTTCTTATCTTTACTTATTTACATCATTTGTCGTCCATTTCGCTGAATCATATGAACAAAGACAAAGAGAATGTCCGACGTTTCTCGTTTCGAACATTTTCCTACCGAACTTCTCATGGACATATTTGGACTTTTTTATGCTCTGCGGTTATATCAATCATTTACAATATTAATTCACGATTGAACTCGATTGTTGCACAGATGAGAAATTTCACGTTGCACATAACTGACGAAGATCAAATCATGATGCGTGAGCAAATCGATATGGAAAATATTTGCTCTTTAAAACTGAATTCAAATCCCATAGCAAAATTTGAATTAAAATATCCACTGGAGATTTTCTTTCAAAAACATGTTCACTCATTAACACTCGATGTATGTGATACGTTTCATATTCAGAAATTATTACTATTCAAAATTCTTTCGACATTAAATGTTCGTTTCGGTGGATGGTTGTGGTTCAATGAAGAGAGTATTAAATGCGAGGCGAAAACAGCTGATTTTGGAGCTTAAAAAATCGGTTTAAATCAAGTTTTGCCAGGTATATTTGGATGATCTTGTGATAGATTCGAAATCATATGATCAGCATTTGAAACATATGATAAAGGTATTAGAATATTTAAAAGAAAATAACCTATAATTACATCCATCCAAATTTTTCATTACTCATTCAAAAAGTGATTACTTGGTTATACCATCATCGAAAACACAATGAGTATAGTAAGAGTTTTTATATCTATGTCAAAAGAAAGGTTTTTTTGCGCACCAAGTTGATCAAAACCTTCTCAATTTTATGAGAATTCACTTAATTAAGGATGGCATTAATTTTGTCATTCAATGGTATGATTGTGTTTTCGATGATGGCGTAACCGAGTAATCACTTTTTGAATGAGCAATGAAAAATTTGGATGGATGTAATTATAGGTTATTTTCTTTTAAATATTCTAATACCTTTATCATATGTTTCAAATGCTGATCATATGATTTTGGATCTATCACAAGATCCTCCAAATATACCTGGCAAAACTGATGACATGATTCCAATGCTGTAAACATTACACGTTGAAATGTGGGAGGGGAGTCCTTCAAACCTTGTGGTAATACATTGAATTGAAACAACCCAAATGGTGTAACGAATGCCGTTTTGATCTAGTCGTCTTCTCTGATAAGTATTTGCCCGAACCCGCTCTTTAAATCCAATTTGGTGAAGTATCGATATCCTTTTCCCAATTGTTGTATTGTTTGTTCTATATTGGGCAAAGGAAGATTATCCTTGATAGTGATATGATTGAGCTTCTTATAGTCCATTACTAATCTTAATGTGCCACCTGACTTTGGCGTTAATAATGCTGGCGCTGCATATTGGGAATTGGATCTGCTAATACGGGCAGCATCAAGTAATTCCATCACAATCCATTCCGTTTCCTTTTCTTTCTCAGGTGTTGAACGATAAGGATGAGGAACAGATGGTGCATAAGCCATTGTATGAATTACGATGAGAGATAGATATGAGATATCTTGGCCTTTACCACTGTACTTTGTGATGTATCAAAAAGCTGTTGAAACTGCTCAATCAGTTGTCTGAGATTCCGTCGTTGATTAGTACTTTCAATATGTTTCGCCATGTTCTCAATATGTTCCTTGACAGTGACTTCACTTCTAGCTGTTTTTAATTGGTACTGTTGAAACACCGATAATCAGTTCTTTAGATAAATAACATGGATGATTAGTTGGATTATAAATTGAAATCGATGCTGAATACTGCTGAATGCCTAGAGGAGAATTTGTCGTTTAAGGTTGTATGCTGGCTTGAATAACACCTTGGACGATGATATACAAGCAGACAATCTTACAGTGACCTGCTGCTGTGATGGTATTCGAATCGAATCTGTTAATCCCAGTGGCGCCCGAATAGGAGTGTCTTGTTTATTCATTTGGATGATAATCTCATGATGCTGATTGCTGGCAGACTGTGCTAGTTTCTTTCCCAGCATCAAATTGTAAACCGTACTTTTTGATATAATCAGTTCCAAGCATGCAGTCAGTGAATAAATCCTTAACTACAGATGTCATAACCGTTGTAATCATGTTTTTAATCTTGATTGTTAATTGCACCGTGCCAATCGCCTTCAAATAAGTTGTTCCACCTGCCATTGAGAGAGAATAATGGATGTTGGTGCTAAGTTTTTGATGTTTCGTTTTCCTCAAAGCATTTTCGGTGGTAATCGTGTTAGCAGCTCCGGTATCAATCATAACTTGCATCATCTCGTTGTTAACTGCGACGCTAATAAAAAACAATGATGGATTATCGTTGTTATTTACACTGGAGGCGTCACCATCATTCGATGACTCCGCTACGGAAAACCCTGTCGCTTTGGACAGGCACTTTGATAAAGATCCAATGAGCCCCAACTATGACATCCGGAATAATTTTGTGATGGTGATTGTGACGACGGATATGCACTGCGCGTATGTATAAATTGTGTTGTGTTTGTTTTGATTGTGAGTTAGCAACTGCATTACTTGACAGAGTTGGATTGTTTTTGGATGTCTGCGAAGACGATGGAAGTGCTGTTACTGATCGATTGACCATCAAATGATGTATTTCATTTGATTCTTGCTGTTGGTCAAATCTTATTGGAGGTGGAACGTACAATCGTTGATCGTTTCGATTTATCGATGAATTGATTCTTGAGATTGTTGATGGCTGAGGGGTAGACGCGGCGCAAACTGTTACCGGATCATCTTTAATAAATTCCATAAATTCTTCTCACTGCGTTCCATGACGCATTCAGCCAGATTTCCCGAAAAAGAGTTGGCTGTTTCACAGGAATCTCGGTCCCATTGGGACACTGAGGATAGAGCATATTGCGGGTAGTCGCAGTATCGTCATCAATCACGCAACACTGACACTAGGTGGCCTTCAGTGCGATTGATCATTGGTCTTCGAGCGAGGATGTGTGAAAAGGTGAACATTTCACATTGAGGTTTAAGGGAAAAGAATGTGATCGTGGCATGAAGAGCGCTGCCGCATTGTCATGTCTATCGTTACACAATCTTTGCACTGTAACCTAGTTTTTAAACGACTTGGAGAGGGAGCGCATCCTCAGATTCGTTTATATTCTGAATATTGGCAAGTGACTGTTTTTGGCTTGAAACCTGATAAATATTCGCTGTCTTGTTCATCAAATTGTTCATCGAATGGTCTTTCAACGTAGTCTCATTTCGACATCACTAGATAAACTGTTCGCCTTTCTTAGTCAGACATCCACATTACTCGATGGCAAACGACATCTCACTCATGTACTGAAACTCGAAGGGCAATTGCAAGCGGCAGGTTACAAATGGAGTAGAACTTCAATGAAACCATTTCGAAGCTACACAAGTTCAAGCAGCAGTGAACACTTACAATATCAACAGTCGAAACTAGGACTGTAAAAGTTCCCGTTGCGTTGATTTAACGCTAACTGACAACACAGTTACCGTTAAAACAACGGTAACTGTCTTTTCAGTTACCGTTATTTTAACGGTAACTGACTAAACGGTAACTATCAGTTAGTTAACTGTGTGGTAACTATTTCTTAATTATGGCCGAAATATCCAGGCAGCGGCTTAAAATGGCTTCCAAAATCGTTAGTTTTCCACTAAAACTGTGGCAGCCGCTCCTCCTGATTGGCACACACGTGCCAGTCGACCAAACTAATCGAAATTATATAACTTCAATGTTTTGTAACTGCGGTTTTTAAGGTCTCTGGAGACCTCAGCATCTACGGCCAGCTTGAGAAATGTTTTTGTT